AAAAAAATTTCAGGAAATCACATTGTATGATTTTTAAAGAATTTATTTTTCTTGCACTGCTGAACATAAGTATTTGAACACCTGAGAAACAGCAAGAATTCTGGCTCTCAAAGACCTGTTACTGTGCCTTGAAAAAGTCCACCTCTACTCCACTCATTAATCTAAATTAGTAGCACCTGTCTGAGCTCTTTAAAGACACCTGTCCACCCCACAGTCAGTCAGACGCCAACTACTACCATGGGCAAGACCAAAGAGCTGTCAAAAGACACCAGAGACAAAATTGTGGACCTCCACAAGGCTGGAAAGGGCTATGGGGCAATTGCCAAGCAAATAGATCAACTGTTTGAGCAATTGTTAGAAAATGGAAGAGGCTAAAGACGACTGTCAGTCTCCCTCGGACTGGGGCGCCATGCAAGATCTTACCTCGTGGGGTATCACTGATGATAAGAAAGGTGAGGAATCATACAATGTGATTTCCTGAAATCTTTTTTTTTAATTCTGTCTCTCAGAGTGGGAATGCACCTACAATGTGAATTTCAGACCCCTCCATGATTTCTAAGTGGGAGAACTTGCAAAATCGCAGGGTGTTCAGATACTTCTGTTCCTCACTGTATTTCTTCATTATAACTCTCATAGAGACCACAGTGGTGTGTGAGCTACACTGAATCACAACAAAAGGTGAGACCTTGACAGTGTGATTAAATAGCTTTAGCGTTGGCTTTGTTGATCAGATCTGGCAGAACCACTGATCAGAAAATAACTGAGCTGCCCGGGTGACTTCACACATAGCAACAGTTCAGAGACATGCTCTGCTCTGATTGCAAATCGCATCTCATTCCTGGACTATAGAGCAGGGGCCTAAATCAGACACTGAGCTTTTATTAATAGTGACAAGTTGGAAGTTGCACACTCCACCCTCCTCCTTTTTGCTCTACTGTGGTTCCCATCACCTGATTGGCCTAGGAGGCTCCATTTTAAAAGCATGCTTTCGTTTCCCTCCCATGTTTCAGCTGGCAGGTGAGTGACTGAAGCAGCCTGTACATGCACAAGAAATGAGGGGGAGGAAGAAAGGAGGTGGGAGGATCTCAGACCTCACAGAGCCTATACAAGGCTACATTCCTCCCCAACCATCAGTCCTCCCCTGCTCACACAACCAGAATACTAGTGAAGAGCCAGCAGCATTATGTCATGTCTTTTAGCATCTTGATATTTTGCCACTCTGTACTGTGACCTTAAACAAATCCTCACCAGAACTTTGTCATAGGAAACCCAGTTCCTGAAGTCAATACATCAAATAACTTGTCTTAACACCAAACTAATAGACACTGTATCAAATAGGACCACAAACCTTAGACAACGCTTACAAATTCCCAAATAATTTTTACATTACAACATTCGTTTGTAAACAATTCTCCAATAAAACATTCATTGTATTTTAAGGTAAAAGAAAAGGCACCCTTATATCATGCAAGGGCATAATGTGGAGTGTTTCTACCTTTAATTCCTTATTCTATTGCTAAAAATATCCGTGCATGTAGCAAAAATAACATTGACAGTAATGGCATGTCACAGCTATGTGAAAGACTTCCTGCATCCCCGATCTCTCCCCTCAATCACTGGCTTCCAGTCACATTAATTACTACCTTCTGAGTGAGGACACACTGTGCTGGGTTTTTAAACTTCACCCCAAGATACGTTATGCAACTATCAACAAGGACATATTAAAACCTTCAGTGACTATTTTACGTCACTTAAACTTGAACATGGACCAGTGCAAATAAAAACTGTATCTTGAAATTATATTTATATTATGCTTTGATCTTATTACAATATTTAACAAAACTACCATATTTTGACTGGGCATAGAAAAGCTGATAGAGCCCTAGAAGAGTAGCAGTAGTTTATTATGTGGCAGATGGTTACAGCCACAGCGGGTGTACCCTGAAGATGCTCAGAAGCAAGCAACTAAAATTCTAACTAGACAGATAACTAACTGAGCTAGTTAATGCAGCTAATTAACTCAGCTCTCTATGTGGTGTGTTTCGGCTATGAGCGACTGCTGCAGCTGTAACTGTGATAGTGGCTTCAGCTATGGCTGTACATTGGCTGCGATACCTTCGTTCATTATGGGTGTAACACTGACTACATTCATAACAATGTCCACAGCCACAGCTTCAGCCAGCACAGCCAGGCAGAACATGTTGGAGCTCTGCCTTTTTACAGAAGCAATGAGCATTAAATGGTAAATGGACTGGACTTGTATAGCACTTTTCTACCATACCTGGACAAAGCACTTTACAGATTCATCCATCAACCCATTCACACACACTCACACACTGATGGTAGCTGAGCTGCTGAGCAAGGCACTGGCCTGGCCACCAGGAGCAACTTGGGGTTGAGTGTCTTGCCCAAGGACATTTCATCATGTGGACTGGGGAGAACAGAAATCAAACCGTCAACCCTGCGATCAGGGGCCGACCTGCTCTACCCGAGGTACAGCTGCCCCATGCGTCAATGTAAAGTGTCACATAATCTCTCCTTTCTGTAATATCTACACAGTATTTTCTTAAACTGGCCAGTGTATTATATCTGGACTGGACCCACACTAACCGTTCCTGTGGATCAGGGGAAATGATCAACAAAACTCCCACTGTGTTCCTTCGGGGGCTCTGTAAAAACTAGATTACTTATGATTTCTCAAATGTTTTGTAAAAATGTCTTTTTACAATAGGTATATTATCTGTTGAAACAATGTTTGGGTTTTATTTATAATGTTTCTGACTGACAGTGGGGTATAGCTTTTTGGAGTATAAAAATATACTGTATATCTAAGAACCAAAAGGTTTATGGTAAAAAAAAAAAAAAAAAAGAATGATACATGCACACAGTACACTGCACTTCATTGTATTTTGTAAGTGGTCCAACTCTAATCCCAGGTGTCCAATACAAAAAGGGACATTCTGTAAGTGTTGACAGGGAAGACGGATGAAATAGAGGTGATTAAGAAATGCCTCCTACAGCCCAGTGTCTCTCGAGTATAACAGTCTCCATCTGGAAAAAAAACAAACTTATACTTTGCAACCACCACCAAATACCAACATAATAAACTGATGTAGAGCTTTGTTTGGAGACAACACCTGAGCATGATATTATAGAATGTTTAACCACAAACCAAACCAAATTGTTCTCCAAGACTTCATGGCTCTGATTAGACAGCAACACGGTTACGGCCATATCTGGCACAGCAAGCTTGGTTTAAAGCTAAAAACAAAACCATCTGCACCATATGATTTCTTTTATTATACATGACTTAGACTTGTCTATCAGCTCTATAATACTGTAAAACTGAGACAGTGAGGTGGCTGTCAGCTTTCTGTGACTCACTACTACAAGCGGGTGCTGCTCTGATTCATGCACAAAGCCCCTCGGAAAAATGTACAACTGAGTCATGCACAGAGTGGAAACTGGGTCTCAAACACATCACTGACCTGGGATAGATGTAGGCTAGTAATTCACTAATGAAAGGGTAAACTCAGTTAAATAGGTAAAAAGTCAAAGTTCAATTCCTTTAATCCTGCCTTTCCCAAACTTAGGGTCCCATTTTTATAGGTCAACAATGGGCAGACTAAAATTAACTCACATATCATAGCATTTTTATCAATTTAAATACAAGAAGAGCACCGTTTCTTTCTACAATGGTCTGCTCAGCTCAGACGACGTCTGCAGGGCATTGTCTCTCTCTTTTCACTAACCTCTCTTCTCTTCTTCAATGGCCCGGCCTGACCATCAGAAGTTTGCAAATTTTCCCAGTGGTCCAGTCTGTTTTTCTCCTAAAGCGCCAAGACATTATACAACTTGCATATGCAACAGGCCAACTTAGCTGCCTCGACATTTCTGGTGCAGCCGTGACAGCAGTGAGAGATGTTACCTTCACACCTGCAAAGCTGCATTTGGAAGCAAAAGAAACTTGGAGAGAACCTGTGGTCGGCAGTGCAGAAAAGGAGTGACAGAAAAAGAAAA